CCCCCCCCACGAAATATTGGCTGATCCTATCGAATAGGCCTCGACGCCAGGACCCCAGTTTTCCACCCACCTCTTAAACTAATAACTCTTCACTTTTGGGCCACGTCAGCTGGAAAAGTTTGACATTGTCATCGCTGGGAATCGCTTGAATTATTGATGGATTAGTGTACGTGGCGCTTGACAGGGGTTACACAAGATTGGAACTCATTAAATCTATTGGGAATTAATTTGGTATCGTACATCAAAAGGAAAGGACAAGGGAACATAGAAATAAATTATGAGAAACACAAGAATTTTTCCAAATTTCTCTATATTCAGAATATGCAGCTAAAAGCAGAGGAAACTTCAAAAGGATTTGCCTAAAGTTTCACTTTAAATGAAGAAACTTTTTTTTTCATTTATGGATTAAAAATGCATTTCAGTAATTGCCTGGCCTTCTGAGAGATAATGCCTATCTAAATATGTACATCGTACTCTTTGTTCGCAAGACACAACACGTGTCCTTGGGCAATTATTATGTGTAATCCCGTCGAGAGATTTCAGAGGGGTGTTTCATCATATCAGGAAAAACGGAGAAGAAAGGGAGCCAATTGTCTTGGGAAACACACTGTCTGGCCCTTGCCTCCCCCAACTTTCTATCTGGGTTTTTTAGGGTTCAACGAATTATTTGTTGTCCGAACTCCGGCCAATGTTAATGACTCTGGGTGACGTCTTAGCCTTTGCACAACCCCTACTATATGGTATATATACACGGATCCATATACTATAGAGACGCCATATAGCATACAACATTGAACTTGGGGCTGTTGTCTACCTCGGTTCCATTTGCCAACCCATCTGGCCGGGTGAGTTTTGGCTTTCTGTTTTGTGTGTTTTGGGTGTTGGGTTTGTGTTTTGGCCATTGAACCTGAATCCCCGCTCTCACTAGAGACACCTCCCCGATGATGTTGTTATAATTTTTTGGTTTTCTGCGGCCCCCACACACCCACCCACCGGCTTTTTTATGTGCTGTCGACCTTTCGGGTGCACCGTAAAAAATACTGCAGTTTTAACCTGACGCCCCGAGAATATAAACTTAAAACATTCGGACCATAAACTTATTTTCATGAGTCATGAGTAAAGAAAAAAAACGTTATTCAGCAAAGTTTTTGAAACAAACAAACCTAAAAAACAAATCATCTTTTTTGTGAATAATAAATAATAACAAAACAATTCTTCTAAAATAAACCCCACATATGTTTTTCGAACTGTAAAAACCAATTTAATTTATGCGCCAGTCCCAAATTTATATGAAATTGCATTTGGGGCTAATTGTTTTCGAAACGCAACAAGTTCTATATGAATATTGTTATGAATATAAATAAATACATGGTATACGTTTCTAAATTCCTGACTCATGACAAATGCGCAATTTCGAAATGAATCTCGAAGCGGTTTTTGCCTTTTTCCACACCTCTTCTTGAGTTATGTTATGACATGTTTTTCAAGTCGCTAACCTTGTGTTGGCCATATTTTAGGGATGTCGACACTTACTTGGAGATATAGTAACATCTTGTTGTGCATTCATGGTTTGTCGTTATAAGAAGGGTTTACTTACCTGTAAAGAAAAAAAGATGCATTGAAAATAAGCAGAAGTTTCAGAAATGTAAAAATAACTTAGTCATAAGTCAAAGTTTTAAAGCGCCTCCTTGGATGCGACTTTTAATGTGATGTTAAAAATATTCGTGTGACCATATACGTTTTTTTGTTCTGAAGAAAGTGTTGTAATATGATATATTAATGAAATACAAGTAAAACAAATTTAAATTTAAAATATTTTCAATTACTATTATTAAAAAAAAAGAGCAGCTCAGTTCCTAAAAAAGTATTTAAACATAGACTAAAGGGTTATAGTTTCAAATCAATTGCGATACAATTATTTAACTAAATCATGCGATATCAGGCGAAAGTTCAATTACGGGTTTCACTTCCCTCGCCGCCAAAGGAAACTTTGAACTTTCAAAAAAGCGACAGAATGAGAATAAAGCTCTTATCGGTGTAACGAACCGATATTGTTGCTTTAGCTATTGTTTATATATATATGTTTATATTATTGTGTACTTATAGCAAAGCGTGTGCGCTTTAATCGGTCACCGAAAAAGAGAGAGAGTGTATATGGTATATAGCGAAAGTGAGAGCAGCTTCTGCTGCAAATAAATATTCAAGGTCGTCGGGAGGGGTGGGTGAAAGGGGGCGGGGAGCTGGTGCAGGTGCTTGAACCTTTCGCTTGCTGCAGATAAATAAAAAAAACAACAACCCATTGTCGCGCGCGTGTCTCTGTAGAATCAGGTGTTTATGGGTCATTGAACTGCAGCTTTCTTCACACGGAACACACCCACCAACCACCCACAACCCACCACCCACAGCTCACCGCCCCTGCGACCTTGTCGCCGGCTGCAGCGGAAATTGTTGGGGTAGGCAGTGAGTCACTGGACAAATGCCACCAAGATGTGTCATTAATGGATAGCTCTTTCTGAGAAAAGGGAATTTTATTTTAAATTTTGGATTTCTAAAATGCCTTTCAGTATAAAATTTGTAATGTAAAGCAATTCCAAATAAACCAATTGATATGGCGCCATCTGAGCTTCCCTGAGTTGCAAGTGAAATGTCCCTCAATAATTAATAAAGTGCGAATTATCATCAATTTGCAATATGGCTGGCGATCGCGGCTCATGGTCTCGGGCCATAAAAATAATTATTAAGAACAACGGGGAATTGTTTTCGTTTCGCTCGAGCACTTCCTGTCTGTCCGTCTCTCTCTTTCTCCTTCCTTCATCCGCTCTCCATCTCTTTTACTCCCGACGTCTTTGTTCATCTGCCACAGGAAGTAATCCCCATACCCACTATATACATATATATATATATATATATATATTCATATAAATATACCCCGGACTTTTGTGTAGATTTCGTTTGTAAACACGTTTGTGCAATTTGGCTGGAAAAAGGGGAGGCGGGGTATTGGATCCCCCGCCACCTGTCTGCCGGATCCCAAAAACCCAGAAAAGAGATCCCAAAAAACATAAACAAAAATAAATAAAAGCCACAAACAACATTGAGATAAGTGCAACCTGGAGCGGCTTATTGATGCGGAAATCGAAAATCTCAGACAGTTTTCGTCCGGAAGTTGGCTTCATTGAATTTATATTTAATTGCCTTTTCGATTGTTAATCCTCAGGCGGTTGGATAAACGGATATTTATGCCTGCTAAGCAAAAGTCACTCCCTTTTTAAAGGTGGTTTTGGTTTATTTATATATGATAAGTACTGGTACCCCTGCAATGGCATACTAGGCGTATACGTACTATGGGATTACAAGGGGTTGGAGCTTAAGAGTAAGGATCTTTAAGATACAAAATAATGTATTGAATTGTGTTAGAATATATATTGAAATATCTTGATTGCTGTCATAAGTTTGTGTCCTTTGAAAGAACTTTGTTTATCAATGGTCCTACATGGCGGATACGTATTATTTGAAATAGATTCTCTTCTTTTGTTTATCTTCTTACTTTGGGTCAAGGGGGAGCTACATTTACTTATGCCTGAGTTAATTACCCAGCTCCTCGATCACTTAATTAAATGGCAGAGCATTTATGCACTCTCCATATGGACACATGCAAATGTTTGATTATTCGCACGAGTGTTTGTGCATTAAATGCGATTCGCGATTTACATTTCCGAGTTCTGAAGGCCAGACCGAGTGAAAAGCTTTCGCAGATATCAAATGGGCTTTCGCAAATTGAATTCTACTGCGTCTTAGGTGCATTGAACCTATTGTTTATTTAATTTCGCGAGCTTTCAATATGGGGCGCTAAGTAGAAACGGCTGATGTTTTTTTTGGCAAATGCCAATGCCATTGCCAAAAAATCAAAAAAAAAAAAAAAAAAAAGGTAGCAGTAGCAGAACAAACCTCGCAATTTCTCCTGCCCCTTAGCCAGCATTTCATTTCGGGCATTAAATTCAACCTCGAAAACAAACTTTTCTTTCGGCGGCGAAGTTCATTGCCGTACTTTGACCTCGCGAGTGCGTTGCCTCTCCCTCGCTCCTTTGTGATTGTTGTTGATTTCATTGTTGATGCCGGCGCATTTACTGCATGTGATCATCATCATGACGTTGCCGACGCCAAAAACAACAACAAAGATGATGATGATGTTTTATTTATTTTCCTCCGACAAACCGGGAGATTGATTCGAGTGGAAGCATCCTTGACCGGTCAACTTTCGCACTTTGCATTCTGCCCCTGCAACCCTGATCGTTGGCTACAGTGGAACCCCTTTGGCGAGGACCAAATAAATAGTAAACAGCCACTAAGTTTCTTCAGGAACAACATTGGAAATTGCAAAAAATATTTGTTGTGTACATTTCTAAGCCCCCCAGAACTGACATACCCCAACTCTTAGCGATAAACCCCAACTAATTTGCATGCCCTCGATAAGAACACATTCTATTCAAATAAGTTTGTAAACAAAGGCGCACAAGTCATCCCTCTATATGTCATCAATTCATGAGCAGGCAGTACGTATCTTTAAATTTTAATTGTTTTTGCACAAAACGTTTTTGTATAATTTTTGGGCTGGAATTTTTTTTGGAATAACATTAGTAAACAAGCTGAGAATATAATTAATAATAATTTATTATTCTGACCGTCTTGGGAACGATAGATAAAAGTTTTTAACACAATTGAATTTAGAATATTGAAATACAGAAAAATATTAAAATATATTTGGAATACATTTAAATACTAAGCACATTGGCAGAATTTGTACCATTGAAAATAGGCCGTTTTGTCCCACTGTGCGTATGGCTGGCAATCAGCTGATTGCTGCAAGTGTGCACAGCTGTTTTTTAACGTACACCCGAAACGTGTGGCGTGCGATTAACCGCATCATAACAAAAAGCAACGAACGCTAAATAAACAGGCAAAACAGCGCAAAGCAAAGAAGGAAAGAATCACAAACTCACATGTTGCTGCTGTTGCTGTTGCTGCTGCAGTTGCTGTTGTTGCTGCTGCTGCTGCTGCTGCTGCTGCATTGCACATATCGTTGTTAGTGGTGAATATGGTCGTTTGATTCGTACTGGCTGCCGATCTGAATTTCATCCAAAAAGGTCGCGTATTGGAATTGTAATACATTTTGCCCTGCTGCCTGTTGCTTGTGTTGTCTATGTTGCTGTTGTTGATGTTGCTCCTGTGCTGTTTACGTTGCTGTTGTTGCTCTTGTTCGGTCTTTCGCTTGATTGCCGCACCAGAGGGCGCCAACATGTTTTGCTTGGCTGCGATTTCCGCCAGCAGCATGTTGCTGCTGCCTCAGTGTTGCACCTTTGCCGCTGCCTGTTGCAGCCTGTTTGTTCAGGTGTTGCTATTGCTGCTCCGCAGTATTGCTGGCGGTGTCTCACTTTCGAGCCTTTTTTGCTGATGCTGCACTTCAAATCTCCGCAAATGTTGCTCCTGTAGATGCAATATCTAATGTTTTTAGGAGCAGTGATAGAAGACTCTAAATGCTCCTGTTTTCTTGTATTGCACTCGAAATTGTTGCACTTTTTGCATCGATTGCTGCAAACTAACTTGATGTTGCTTCTGTAGCTGCAATATCTGATGTTGCCGCAACTTCTGGTTCTATTTGCATCACTATTTCTTCTGGTTGCATCAGCCAAACTCGCATGGTTTGAAGTTATTTTAACCCACAAAAATCCTCTGTTCAGTGGCTGTTACACTCACAAAAAAACAAAACAAAGCACCGAAGCCACGCGGAAAACTCAAAGAGTCGTTTGTATATTTCCCGTTTGACGTCACTTCACTTATGATGAGAAAAAAACAACCGATCTACGCAGCACTCGAAAGTAAATCCCAGGGCCAAGAGAATTGCACCAGAAAATGCGTTGCCAAATTGGGAACTTGCTGAATCCCCAGTCATTTGCACACTGAATTTACTTTCCACAAGAGAAATCAAATAATACGTGAGGGAATACAATATTTAGTCACTATTATTATTAACAAGAATATAACAGTGAAATTAGCGCACCGCCCAACTGGTCGGACCAACAACAACAAAGTGCCCGCGTATGTATGATTGAAGCTCAAAAATGGACTGCCAGCAATTGTTGCTGCCGCTGCTTTCGGCTCTGCCAACGTCGCAGCCGCCAAGAAGGCAGCGGGCTCTCTCTCGATTTTCGAGCGGAATGAACCCGCAGACGTCGCTTTATGCAAGTGCCATATAGTCTATATGGTCTTTGTGCATAATTCCAAGAATATATATCAGCGCCCAAAGAGTTCAAATGCGCAGGAGAGAACGGTGAGCATGAAAGTGGGCCTGGGTGATTAACGACTGGCCCGACTATCGTATACCTGTTGGTTGAAAGAGTCTTCGGAAGCACGAAATACCCAAAAAAACAGAGGATAATTCGTTATAAACATTAAAAATATCAACAAATATATATGGTTTTAATATATTTGTAAATTTCAATTCATAATACTACTCATAATACTTTCTTGCCCACTGATGAACTATGGATATACCTAGATAACATATGGGTTCCCGAGTAGACAGATACGCCCTGGTGCTCCGAAGATACCAGGTATTATCATATCAGTGCCTTTGCTGCCTCTGCCTCTGCCTCAGTCGACGTCGCATTTGCAGAACAAAGAAAAGCCCCAGCTGACGCATGCCTTGTATCTGGAATAAGGTTCGCATTTTGCGCCTAACCCAATTCGAGTGTCATCATTTGGCCGTGGAGCCCAGTGTTGCTGCTGCTGTCCCCATCCTCATCCCCTTCCCCATCCATTGCTGTCTCTTTCGGCGACTATCAGCGCGACATTGAGCGGTAAAGCTTTCACTCGGCGGTCCGCATCATCATCAAACAGCTGGTTGCTGCACAGTGGTTTCAAATACACGTAAACAACCCCCAGTTGAAAAAAAAAACAAAAAATGTAAATAATTTCGCATACAGAAGTGCAGTCCTGGGTTCCCATTTTGAAAGATATGGGATTCACGGAGAAATCGAACATGAAAATGGGTTGCAATTTCGACTTTCGTTTATAAGATAAAGTTTAATGTAGAATATAGGAGAATTTAACCACAAATTCATAAAGGTATCCCACTTCAAAATCGGGATCAAATTACCCAAGTTATGGAATCTGGAAGTGCAGTTTTGGGGTCCCATACTGAAACCCATTGGAAATACGGAAAAAAGTAACATGAAAACCGGCTAAAATTTGAACCCTCTCTTAAAAGGAATATATTAATGTAGATTGTTAGGAAATTCAACCACCAATCCATAAAGGCATCCCACTTCGAAATCGGGATCCAATAACTCAAGTTATGGAATCTGGAAGTGCAGCTTTGTGGTCCCATACTGAAACCCTTTGGAAATACGGAAAAAAGTAACATGAAAACAGGTAAAAATTTGGACCCTCCTTTTAAGGTAATATTTAAATGTAGATCATTAGAAAATTCAACCACAAACTCATAGAGGTATCCCACTTCGAAATCGGGATTAAATTACCCAAGTTATGGAATCTGGAAGTGCAGTTTTGGGGTCCCATACTGAAACCCATTGGAAATACGGAAAAAAGGAACATGAAAATGGGTTAAAATGTTGACCCTCCTCTAAAGGTAATATTTAAATGCAGATCATTAGAAAATTCAACCACAAACTCATAGAGGTATCCCACTTCGAAATCGTGATTAAATTACCCAAGTTATGGAATCTGGAAGTGCAGTTTTGGGGTCCCATACTGAAACCCATTGGAAATACGAAAAAAAGGAACATGAAAATGGGTTAAAATTTTGACCTTCCTTTAAAAGTAATATTTAAATGTAGATCGTTAGGGAATTCAACCACCAATCCATAAAGGCATACCACTTCGAAATCGGGATCAAATTATCCAAGTTATGGAATCTGGAAGTGTAGTTTTGGGATCGCAACTTACCCAATATTATTGCAGAAAAATGACAATTGATAACAATGGTTTTAAGTCCAAAACTTTGTTTTTAACATTCACGTAATATACTCTTGTTTATAAGACCCAATGTTGTAGTTGTCAAAATACAAAATAAAATTGTTTTAACTCCAAGTCAGAGCAGTCCTCTTAACATCCAATTTTGTTTAAATAATTGTTCACTTCACAATGCTTAAGGACATCTTTCCTTCAGTTCAAAAAGTCAACTAATCTTCGTCGCCCGGATATTCACGCATTTATAAGGGGTCAGTTTCTGGCAGGACAGTCGAAAAAGATTAAAAACACATTGTGACCGATAAGGGGTTGGACAGTAGTTATCAGGTAGTTAGGAGCGACCCGTCGTCGACCTGATTTAGGGACAATCCAAGCAGGCGGTTTTCCACGACAAGCTGACGCGTGTCTGGAGAATTTCTCCAGGGTTTTACCTGCCCTCATATTTGGTTTTATTGGCTTGTTATTTACGCCTGGCCCACTGTGCAGGTCAGCTTGAAAACCAGCAAGCAGTAGTGTTTTTGGGAAAATTGCGAAGGTACAATTCAATATCCCTTTAGTTATTTAAGAAAATGATTTGTGAACAGTCTAAGAACAAAACTTTGTGTATTTTGGATCACTCCATATAAAAAGGAACTTGTTTTCATGCAAAAGGAAGCTATTTTAGATTCTTTTTAGCCAATACTATTGAAGCACTGGTCAGCGGGCGTACAACTTGGCTAGGAAGCTTTGGGATTCGCTTTTTTTGTGATTGCAAACTTGGCTGTTTAGCGCCTGATAAGAGCAAGTCTCTCAGCTTTTCGGTTTGTTTTTAATGCAAATACTAGACAGGTCGACGGGGCGGATGAGCGATATGAAAAATATAAAATAACATATTTTACACATGCACATTTATGTGAATTTAAAATAAATGAAGCCACTTAGTATTTGGATTAGCGTTTGAACTTATTTCTCATGCCAGACACTTGAGTCACACTTGAGTCGGAATTAGAACGCGCGCAAAAATGTGTAAGTAAATACAAAAATAATAATAAAGACCAAATGGAGTCAGAGAGATGCAAACAAATTATCGGAGCCCGAAATGGTGTCACTGTGTCATGTTTGAGTTTTTTAAGATGGCAACAAAGAGTTCGGGAAATACAAGCGTATAAGTAAGGTAAATGTTTTTGTATCACTTTATTTTTTGCACCATCAGGGCCATAAATCCTCCGCACACTCACCAACATTTGGGGTGGAGTTCTGCTGTCTGGGATCGGCAATCGGAAATCCCGCGGCGCTCAACCCAGATTCGGATTCAGAACTGAGAATTTCAAAATTTAACTTTTCGCGATCCGCTCCGAAAGGCGTTCGGTTATCAACTAAATGGCGACGTGAGCCTCAGTTCGAGGAGAGGAAAAACATTGAAAAGTTGAAATCGGTAACCCCAAACAATAAACAGTAAGGAAACACAAAGCCGGGGGGATCGGATCAACGGAAGCAAAATAAACAGCTGCGTTTTACAGAGGTAGGTTACTTATTGAATATGCAAAATACCTTCCAAAAAAATCTACATAAATTAATAATGAACAGTAACATAATATAATATAATTTAATTAAGCTTTGATCAAATTTTGAGTTTGAAAACATAAATCGTATGCTAAGTCTGTACAACATACTTTTTCATTTCGAACCTCCGTTGGAAATTAGTTTAAAGTTTAAATAGTGTTCAATAATATTCAAGGCGGCATGGTAGCGCTGACATGTTTTGAATCTAGGACTGCTACCATAGGTGTGGAAATATCAAATGGGGCTACCACCATATCGATAATACGGACCCAGAAAATTAGACCCCCACCACTGAAAATTCTCGCAGACCTTATCACTCGCCATATAAAAATTTAACTGAGTAGCGAAGGGTTAGGTCAATGTCCTCGCTTATTAAATAGGGTTACCACCATATCGATAGTACTAAACCCTGTAGACTTGGCCTCTTGGAGGGCCGTTCTCGCCGACTTATTCAGAGAGCAATAAAAGCGAAATGTGTACAAAATATATACTAATTCATCCTACAGATAATATTGAACTGAGATCAATATCTTCGCCTATTAAGTAGGGCTACCACCATATCGATATAATGACCAGGCAGGGGGGCAGTCCTATCCCGTAGAATTGACAGGAACGTCAAAGTGAAAAATTTTCCTTATTGCTCAGTAGGAAAGAACAAATCATTTTCATTGTGAGCTCCAACCGGTAAGAACGTGAAGTGCCTAAATATCAGCAAATTTTTATTTTTAAAATAAAACCATTAAGACTTTGATAAGTTACGATGAATACTGTTAAAGATTTCAAGATAAACTCGAGCGTTTGGGTGAGTCTTCAGTATTATAGCGGGTCTGAGTTTTTTTTTTTGCTAAAAAATTTTCCACTTAAAGATGAACAAGAGCTATTCGTCGGTGCTGAAGAGCGCTCCTCTTCCTGTCCCGGGATATCGTGGTCCTCGCCGTTTTCCGGGGCCCCCGGGTCAGGGGAAGCCCATGGCCCCGGCTTCGGCGAAGTCCATGGCCCCGAGGAATGGTCAGAGGACCACGGGCAATGGTGGCCACTTTGAGGGGCCGAGCACCTCGCGTTTCAGCCACTACGACCAAGCCGTGAAGGAGCAGAAACGTGAACGCGACAACGCTTCCATGATTTCCGGCCGCACTGCGGCTCCCAAGAAGAGCGAGCCGTACTTCGCCAGCAACTTGAAGTACTATCCCCACTTGCCGCAACCACGTTGGGTGGAGGACTTCCAGACCTTTGCGGAGCTCAAGAAGGTCATTTCGCACGGTGACCACTCGCAGGTGGAGACGACCATGCCGCCGCCTCCGCCTCCGCCGGCGAAGGTGCATAAGTCGCGTAGCAAATCGGTAACCCCTGCCCAAGTTTACCATAATCAAGCGGCCCAGGCTCCACCACTTCGCTACTCGATGACCCGCAAGAATGCCGGCGACGGCACTGAGAACTCCATGAACAATCGTTTCCTCCCGGTCAGCAAGCATCTGATCCATCAGCCCAATAAGCAGATGAAAAAGCCGGCGCAGCAGGATCCCCTGTTGGCCCAGTTTGTGGCCCGCCAGGAGGAGGTGCGTCACGAGGACGATCCGAAGAAGGCGCCACGTCGTCTTCAGCCCAGCTGGTGTCCCTCCTCCAATGAGGAGGCCAGCGGCTCATCGAAGCCCAAGGATGCTCCACGTTCTTGGCGCTCGGAGGGCACTGCCCACCTGCCGCCGAAGAAGTCGGTAGCCGAGAACTCCTTAAAGACACGCAAAGAGAAATAAATAAATAAATGCTAAGAAGAGGCTGAGAGCCATCAAAACAAATAGGTCTCTAGTTATTTATGGCGGATTGTTCATAACTCTTAGGGTTCATAAAGCTCATAATTCTTTTATTTAGGTTAGGGTTTGTATATGAAGGCGATATAGTATAATGTAAATTGGAAAATTCATTGGTGTCTAGTTGAAAACGGAATCGGGCATTTAGATCCGATCCCTGACTCACAGCAAGCGACTTATGCAAGCGGTTTTGGGTTTATCTAGTGCTTGGATCATCGTCATCGTCTTGTTTGGCACATGACCACGTAGCGGCGCTTCTTTTTGGATTGACCCAATATCGCATAATATGGGCATATAGCACGAACTCCAGATCATGACGCAATGTCTGTGAGCAGCGCTTAGTGCGCGCTAAATCAAAAGAGAAATAGTTATAATGTTAAATCGCATTTTTATATTGGAATTTACAAGGTAATAATAATAAAAAGCAAATGTCATTGTCAATTTTCATCAAGTGACGTTTGAAGTTTCCTTTCTTGCAGCATACTTTTGGGGTTGCCTACAAAAGTGTAACATACTCTTGGGCTGCCGATGGTTGGCAACGCGGGTCGGGCCAAACTCGTGACACGAGCAAATAGTTGGCCATCTCTAGTTTGCGCTTTGCTTTGAACTAACGGTTGTTTCCCACAAAGCGAAAAATCCCAGCAGTAACTTGCTATTTATTCTGTTCGCCTGGTATACAAAATCGAGAAATTCGCCACGAAAGTTACAAGTTCCGGACTTCTGATCAATTTTGAACCGAGTTGTAGCCAATTTTGTCGGCAAATCGAGAAATTTTCAGTTTCGAAGTACCAGGCGAACAGAATTTTCAGCAGGTGGCTGCGCGAACTAAAAACTCAGCAGCCCCCAAAAGGCGGCAACACAAAATCAAAGTAAGCTCAAATATGTGCTGCCCGAAAGTATGCTGCAAAAATATGCTTAAGCTTTTAGCCGAGTCGCGAACCAATCCATAAATAATGCATACTTTTGGGGGTGTTTAAATAAATATTAAAAAGGTAAACTTTATTTTCTTTTGTTTTATTTGAAGGCGGTGAAATTACAAGTTTAACCACAAAGCTACTAAAAATATTAGTAATGCATAAGAATGGTATATCATAAAAATTATTTGGACTTCAATGGATTGTTAGGTTCTAAATCATGGTCCTCGCGTAAGCTATTCCTCGTTCATGTTGAATACATCATCTGGAAAATACAGAGGGATACATATGAATATGATTTGTGTGTTAAATTTACAAAAAATAAAACATGTATAAAGAAAATTACATTAAAATTATCAAAGAAAAGCTTAAAATACTTGTCAGGTCTCACACCAGGATTGAGTCCTTTCTTAAGCTTTAAGCTGAGTTCTGCACAAGGACTAAGTTATTTCCAATTTGTTGGTGGCGGCTTTTTTTATAAAACTAATATTTTGTTACAAGTTAATATTAATCGCTTTTAATCATTATTATCATTATTAATCATTTACCCTAAGGCTTAATATGGTATTTGATTATTTTTGGTAGGTTATATATTTATAATTAAAAAAGGCCTATTTAGATTGCAATGCTTACATTTAAATGTTGGAAACAAGCTGTTTATAAAGTAATACTATGTCCAGGTTTGTGAATAAGAATCTTACAAAGATGTAAGACCTTTCTGACTTTAATTTAAAGCATTAAGAATGTAGTGTATTCTTGATTAGATCGAGTAAAAATTGTTAACCATATTTCTTTCTATAAATAGGATGCATCTGTGGAATCGTGAGTCCAGATCATGAAATATGTATGTTAACACAAATTGACTTAAAAAATGGAAATTTAACAGCTAAAATTTTTTAAAATTAAATTTAGTTTTATTTTGTAAAGTAACTTTTTGTTTTCATAAAATTTTAATCGTCAAAAATAACGCTTTGTTTACTCTTCTCCAAAAAGTATTAAAGAATCATCATGTTTGGACAAAAAATAAAACTAAATTTACGTTTGACTACAAGAAGTGCGAAAATCAGGCTAGTTGGTTAAAAAATAAAGAAAATTCCCAGTGGGTCTTTTATAATAAAAAACACAAACAACTCTTATTTACGGATTTAACGCATTGACCGTTCGCCTCCCTCCATTTCTCCTTGAGAGCACTCTTTTTGCCCAGTAATTGAGTTTAAGAAAGCGTCGCCCCATTTGGCCATGTGCTGGGCAGTTACTTGGACGTGATTGCATTGTCTGCGGTGATTGACAGCCGTTTGACGGCCGGCGGACTTCTGTGGCGATTGACATTTGTTTAACGGAATTAACGGGTGTATGCGGACAGCTTATCTGCATGTTGGATTGAAAGCGGCTTTGAATCAATCACCAGCCCACCCCAGATTCACATGCGCATATGGATATTCATGCATTCATCGAAATGGGTTTTATAGAACGGAAATTTGAGGCCGATGTCCGATGTCTGAGAGGCGAAAGCACTTTGCGGTTAACCAGTTGTCCAGCATAACCTTCGTCCAGAGGCTGTCTTGATTGGCACAGGAAGTGTATAGGTCCCGCCATGTAGTGCTCTTCATCCCGATTCCCGATTACCGAGATTTCAAAAGCGATTCCAGTGGCTAGTGGCTCAAACTTTGGCCACTGACATCTACGAGTTTGTCTACCATCACTCTGGTTACAGCCAATCAAGCTTGATATGTGGCCCAGCAGATGGGCCCTTCATCCGTGTGCATGTTTGGACAGCAGTGAGTCGGAAACCGAAGAAGAGTTTCCCGGCAATTGAACACAGTTTCATCCTCATCAGAGACGTCATCGGTTCAGCTTTGGGCTATTGACTTTCTGGGGCCCAACTTTGGGAGGCAAGCTGTATTTTTTACTTTCTTGGAGACGACTACAAGGCTGTATGATTTGCCTCCTGCCATTGAAATTTCAAAATGACAGCCATTCGCGGAATTAATTAATTTTGATTTAATCCTTTTTGCAGTCGTAAAATGGGACAAGATGTTTCTTTCCCAAAACTGTGTGATTCAAAGCGAATTAAATATCTTTCTGCTGATGCTCTCGACTATGATTGACTGACGAGGGTTGATTAGCGCCACCGGATGTAGCCGGAAGTACCCATCGCCCTCATCTGGGCTCGCATATTTGTTTAGTTCCTGTTCTCGGGACCCTCGGTTGTTTAGCAACTGTCGCTCTTGCTGTCATCAAACAGTTTGCGTTTTGGCTTAGTTAAGTTGCTAATAAAAGATTGGTTTGGTTGGGATTCCTTTCGATTCGATTCATTTTCATGGTTCTGCGCTACTCGTTCATCCCCTTTCGAAAGGACCCCAATCCATGTTGGCTCATCTCATCTACGTGGACCACAGGATCTAAGGGCAAAGGAAGGACCCACCGATCAAATGAACAAATGAGTTGTGCTTAATCAGGTATCGAAAATTAATTTGTTCATGCTTCTGTGGCTGTTGTTACCGTGTTTTATGCATGAGGACTTGCTCACCCATTGGTCCACCCGGTCCACTTGTTAGGGCATATGTATGTACTATATTGACCCATTCGAGTGTCAAATGAGCCCACACACAGATATGAAACTGCACAGACTCAGTAGCTTCAGCTTGCACTCCTGTTTGTCAAAATCCTTTGAGACGTGTCAATTATGAAAAACGGTTCTATCCATACTGCAAACCATTCCATACCCTTCAGTTGTCAATTGCCCCTTGCATTAGCCCGTGTCACCGAACCCAGCTATGAAGACCAATGTGCAACCAAATACCTTTCTGTGGACTTGCAGTATGCATTGGCCAGGATTAAAGGGAATTCTTGCATATTCTTTGGCCATAGGAAGATGGGACCCCAATGATTTAGAGTCCATAGCCAACAATGTCTGGATATTTGGCGAAATTTCTCCCTTATTTGGTCCTTTCTGCGCTGACCTTTGTGGGCTAAAAAATGACAAGCCACGCATGGAGAAAGCAGCCAATGCGGTCTAGGAGAAATGCTAGAATATGACAATGTAGCTCTTGATTTACAATGCCATAAATCCAAATCCTACTCGCATTCGCTCACTTTTCAGGAGCTTGTCTGAATGTCTGCTTTGAAAATATGCAATTTTCAGGTCTTTAAGCGAGACAGAATAATTTAATAATTATGAATGGTTTTATGTTACCATTTTCACGAAATGGAAACCAAACGGGGTGACTTGCCGGATTAAATGAAGACTATTAAAATATAGAAAGAGTGGCCTTCACTGACACAAACTCCATAGAATACTCTCGATTTTTCATCCTCGATTTGGGTTCAAGCTTACCCCACTAAACGGTGCCAAAGTTACTCGGCGAGTTCAGTTTTGATCGAGGCTCTAGGTTCCCCTGGCGCATTCGAACAATGCAAAGAAAACAGAATTGAAATGAAATGAATCAAATTGAAAAGCCAGCGACAGTTCTTGTGCAAACAGACAGGGAGCCACAGAACAGAACTGAACAGATATGGGCAACCGTATGGAGACACCAGGTATGGAGTACATACATACATATATCCCATGGAAGCTCGCACGAGTATATGAATAAATGCGGCTCAAATGCTGGATGACTGACTTGTAGCCTGCCCAATTGAAAAACGCTCAGGGCAAGAACGGAATGGGGCTTTAGGTTGAATGTTGAATGTGTCCCATCAGCAGCGATTTGAGCGCTGAACAATGGTGTCAATGGTGGCCACCTGTCCATCCCCATTCCCATCTCCACATCCACATCCTCTAGCCAACATCCAACTGCCATTCGACAGGAAATACTCTTCCAAGGATTCACCGCACTCGACGATATCGAATCCACTACCACTGGGCGCCCAGGAAGGGATATTCCGTGGCCTGGAGTGAAATTATTCCTGCCGTACAACATCTAAAGCGCTGTTGTATACATGAGTAAACACATTCGAAGGATGGCATCTTCATCCAGGATAGAGGATAATGGGTATAAAGGGCAACCAGGCATCGATGTGCGAGTCCTTCGATTCCCTGGT